CATGTAACTATTTTAAATTATTAATAAAGATATAAGCAAGGCCTCACCTTAATACCAAAAAAAAAAAAAAAAAAAAATATCTATGCACATACATACACCCTGTATATTTATATTAGTGAATTATTATTTACTGATAATATTCTCACTCCAAACTAGCCCAAGAATAGTAATTAGACTATTCATTTATTTTATTTAATGTTTCAGATTAAGTCCATCACTTAGCATTAAATTTCATTTCTTTACATCGCATACAAAGATCATTATGCACAGTTAAGAACTTGATTTTTGGAAGATAATGTTTTCAAATTCGGCAAAAGCTTGATTGACTAACTATATAACTATTTTCATCATTAATATCAACTGTATCATTATAAAGATGAAACAATGAATAATAACTTTCACGTGCTGGTAAGTATATAATAGGGTGTATATTTTTACAAAAATTATAACCTGTTTTTAATTATATATTATTTATTAATATAGCATTAGTATATTAATTTTAAACAGATTATAAGTATTACTAGTTGAAGGAAGACCATGTTGTATAGCAAAATTTCGAATAAACATTAGTATATGTAATATTGTTTCAAACTTAATAGCATGATTACTAACACATTCTTTAAGACTATGGACTATAGGATTTATATCATTTTTTGAATAATGTGTTTGAATTGCTTCCCATTTTGATTTTCCAATAGCATAGATAGTAAGCCAAGCTTTCTGACAAACTGAAACCTCTTGAAATTTATAATTACTTGTTGTAAGCTTTTTACTTTCTCCATGGTCAGTAGTTGCTTGTCATATACTAACCTCAAGAATTCCTAAAAAAAATATATTTTTTTCTATTGCTGACATTAATCTAATCTTACAAAATCTTTTAAGGGCTTTGTTGTGATTAATAGAAGTACTAAAGCATTTTTTATTACAACAAGCCATTTGTTGAATTTTAGTTAAAAACGCTTGATTGTTTTGTTCAGACATTTGACTTTTTTTTCTTCATATTCCATAAAGGTTTGTATTAAATTGGTTTGATAAATTCGCTGAAATAATACAATTTCTTGCTGTGTAAAGAAATCTGACTCAAAACTATCAACATATTCAATTGTGCTATTATCACTTGCTTGATTTTCAATAAAAAATTCTTCTTCATTTATTAATTCATCACTATTCTTAGTTGTATTATAATGTTTATATAATTTATTAAACTTGTCATTTAAAGTAGTTAATTCAGAATGTGTGTTAATAAAAATACTATCAAAAAGTACATTTTTATTTATATTTTCATTCATAGTTAATAAAGTACTAAAGTAGTATGCAATAAAAATACAATTTAATAGTAAGCAAAATAGTTTATATAGCACTCTTTATTTCATTGTTTCTATATTTGTATATTATAAACTTTTATATATGAGTGCCACAAAGAGAAAACCTGAAAATCTTATTAGATAAAGATTCAGAGCTTTCCTTTTGCAGCATTCCTACTATGTTATGCATAACAATAAGTTTAATAACCTGTTTATTCATAGTTCTTACTCTATTATCTATTTTGAGTTATCAATTATGCATATGCATAAATTTTTCTATTTCATACTATACTAGATTCCTTATTTCTTGTTTATACAATGAGTTCAGATCATACAACAACCCACAATCCAAATACGACAATAATCTTGGATTAAAAAAAGGAAAAAGCATTAGCTATTTCACTTTGCAGAAAACAATGTTTTGAACTATTTAAATATTTGATGTAGTGAACTTAGATCAGAAGAAGGCAAAGCATTAGCAGATGAAATTTGTAAAAATATTACTCTAACTTTAAAAATTGATTATTATTAGATTTGGATTATAAAAAAAGAAAAACATTAGAAAATGCACTTTCAAGAACACTATACTGATTTCTTTGAATCTTTGTAATAATCTTTAATGAAAAAAAAAAAATTAATAATTGCACTTTGCAAGAATACTTAGCTAAATTTCTTTGAATCTTAGACGATCTATGTAAAATTTAAAAAACAACCTTGATTCTTAAGAAAAAAAATATTATTATATAAAAACACTATGCTAATATCTTTTGATCATAAAGAGAATTACCTTGGGCTAGAAAAAGAAATATAATAAACATACTTTGCAAGAATACCATGCAAATTCTTTTGAATCTTGGATTATCTATATTTAAAAAATAATCTTGAATTAGAAAAAAAAGCATCAGTGAAAAGATAACCTTGGATAAGAATACCGTGAATCAATTAAATAATCTTGAATCAGAAAAAAAGACATTAGCCAATGCACTTTGCAAGAATAATACCCTGAAGATTTAAGTTTTCAACTTACCATAAACTGTTGTATAAAAGACTCCCAGGCATCAGATCTTCTGTGTATCATACTCAGGTTTATAGCATAGGATAAAATTTTAGTAAAATGTAAAAGACTTGGGATATACAAATAGGATTAAGTACTAACAATCAGTAGTAACTCAACTATTATTAACCCTTCCAATTATTAGATTCTTACCCATACAAGAGACCTATAGGTCTATTAATAGGTTTTAAAATTGGTAAAATAGATTAGACTGGATCTTTTATATAGCAGTTTACAATAATAACTTTGATCAAAGATTGACAAATGCACTTTGTAAGAACTATACTAACCTCTTTAGAACTCTGGAATAATAATTGAATAATAATCTTGAATAAGAAGAAAAAGTATTAACTTTGCAAGAATGATATGCTATTTTAGCTTTTAGAAATAGACTTGAAACAGAAGATGCATTAGTAAATACAACTTGCAAAAACATCATACTGACTTATTAATCTTGAATCAGAGGTAATGAATTCAAATTCTATATAATTTTTTGCATATAGCTAATAGCAGACTATATTTTTGTATGAATCTAAGTAAAATAATATAGTATAAGTCAATTTTAAGAGGTACTGTACAGTTAGTATTGTAAAATAATGCTATGTTGAACTTATAGTATACAACTACTGTTTAACCCCACAACAATAAATCTAGATAAAGTGAAGATTCTATTTGTTGAATTATATTATAAAAATGTCTACTCGTGGAAAGCTGTTAAATTCAAAAAGCCCAGTAGCAATCATTGTTGGCTGACATTGAAGTCAAAAAAAAGGCATTGTTAGTGACTATAAAACTAGAAAGAACATACAAACAAAAAAATAAGCATTACCTGAAACTTGAAAAAAGAAAATAGAAAATATGAAACAATTAGTATTGTTGGTATAAAAGATAATAGATGTAGTAGTCAAGGTTGTGAAAAGTTTGATGATGATGAAAGCATTTGTATGCATGTTGATCTCCAGAGCATTTGACTCAATGTTTATTGCAAGTACAACCTAAGGATATAATGAAGAGAAGGATCATGAAGGATCAGAAACTAGAAATTATATTGGAAGATTTATTATAAAAAAAGGAAAAAAATACAAATCTGAGTAGTAAAGTTCAAGACATACGATTTCTTAAGTTTGTAGATACAGTCAGCTCTTTCTAAGTGCAACCTTTTACAGTATAACTTCTTTTTAAATGCAGCTTTAAATTCTGACCCAAGTTGTATATGTTTGATCTCAATAAATGCAATTTTTCTTAGTTGTTCTCTAAACGCAAGCTGTAAAAGTCTGGTTTTGACAAATTGCACTTAGAAAGAGTTAACTGTATAAAGGATGATAATGCCAAGGGATACAATAATATTTTTCAAAAGAGTGGTGGGAATGCTAAAGGGGACAATTTGAAAGCAAAAAAAATAGTGATGTTATTATGAGTGGCCAAGATAATCTGAGTATAAAAGAATGAAAATTGAAAATAAACCTGAAGGTTTCGATAAAAGTACCAGAAATAATAAATGTGATAAAGTTGAAAAGAATGCATTTAAGCCTCATCAAAATAGTAAAATGATATTGTCAAATGTTACTCTGAAAAAAGGATCAAAATTAAAAAAGATAAAGAAGAAACAGCTGCTTTGTTATTAAAAAGGTTTTGCATAACTGCATTGTGCAGCTAATTATTGATAAAAAAATAGCCATCAATAGAAATTAATCAGATTTATTAAAGAAATCTGCTTGATTTCTATTGATGGCATCAATTAGTCAATGATCAATATAATTGAAATAATCTGATCTCCAAGCTAAAATTGATCTACCAAGGTTGTATGAATGGACACAAATAAACAAAAATAATTTATTGCATTTAATATAAAATTTTATTACATTTATTAGCTATATTTTATAAGTAAAAAATGATTATTATAACTTTTTCTATTAAATGAATCATATAACTCAATTTTATAAAAAATGTAAATCTGCTTGATTTCTATTGATGGCAGCCCATATACTAAATCCCAACCTAACTTGTAAAATTCTGAATCAACTTAATTTTCTGTTTCACTTATGACATTTATAAATATATCATAGTATATATAAACTAATAACCCTTAATTAATTAGATCAATTATTTAAAATTAATACAGCTTATGCCAGGCCAAATTTCTGAGAAATTTCATATACAATTTTTTTTTAAAAAAATTCAGGTCTATTTTAGTTGAATGTTATTATTTTGGAAATCCTCATAATAGTTAATACAATAATCTATAAAACTATATAAAAATTTTTTAAACATTTCTTTGCTAACCTAATACATATAATTAACTGTTAATCCCAAACCATTTAATTTTTGAATTGCAAATTCAAATGGAATCTTTTTTGATATGAATTTTCAAATAATAAAACACTTAATTGATGAAATTTCTTTCATTATGCAAACTCATTTCTATTATATTTGTTATTTTTGTTTTTTGAAAGAATTAATTATTTGATCAGCTCATTAATCATCTTCTTTTTTTGCTTTTCATCCAATTCTGCAGTTTTCATATATATATCATTTTAGAATGATTGATTCTTAAAAAAAATTTTTTCCATTCTAAATCATGATGAATCTGATCTTTTTTCTTTTTAAAAATATTGAGAACTGATGGCCAATAGTTATCAAAATTATTTGTATTTGGAGTATTTGTAGGATGAATTAATAATAAAGTTCAGTTTATTCAAGCAATAATAAGGTTTGTATAATTTTGCTTGTTTATGTCTTTCTTTGAAGCACTAAACAAAAAAATAAAGTAATTTAATTTTAAACCAAAATAATAATAAAAATAAAATATTTTCAATAATTGTATTACATGAGTGAAATATCTTCATCTTCACTAGCTATATCGACTTTTAAGCAATATTAAAATAAACAATAAATTCTAATTTTTTTTGAGATAAATTTAAGATTGTACAAAATTATATGCCCAAAATTTGTCTTTATAGATACTTATTGTATGTTATACAACAAATATTGCATAAATTTCCATAAGAAGAATCCTAAAATTATGGGTTCGAACATGGTACTTAGTCATCACATATTATAACCTATATTTTGATTATAATTTTCATAAAATTAAATAATTGGAGATGTTAAAAGTCTGTCCAGTCTGACTCTATTAGTTGAGTTTTAACCTAGATGCAATATTGGATATAGGATCATATAGGGTCTTTGCCTTGAAAATAACCTTATGGTACATGATACCATAAGGTCATTTTCAAGGCAAAGACACCATATTATAACTATAAGTATATATGAGTTTCACTAAAAGAAAACCTGACAATTTAAACATGATTTAATTTAAACTTATTCTAAAAAATTGTCATTTAAGAAATTTTGCAATAGAAATAAAGCTTTAATACATATATGAATTTAACATTTTGCAAAATATAAATGTTTGAACTATCTATTACTACTAATTTTACTCATAATCGAACCTACGACTTCCAGTCATTATTTCAGCAATAAAATCTTTTATAATTTCTATTGCAAACTTTTCAGTCATATACAAAGTTCAGGTCAGTTGTCAAAAGTTCTATGTACATTTGGCTTATAAGGCTCAGTATACAAATATAAATGTTTCGACATTTGATTCTATAAAAAATCAATAAAATCATTTGAACTTCTTATCAATTTAACAGAATAAAAAATACTTAACAGCAAATCATAATTACAATAAAACTCAATAATTAATATAACAAACAGAATAATGCAAATATGAAATTTCTTGTACATTTTCATTCCATCTTGAAAATATAAACCCAATTTATAATTTTCTTGAAGAATTTCTTCTATATTCATTTTTGAAATTTTTAATTTTAATTTTAATTTTTAAAAGATTTTAGTTATTATAAACTTTTGTAGTTCAAATAAATCTTAAAAAAACATTTACTGTAAATATATTAATTTCACATAACAGATCAGTGCACGCTTATATGTTATAATTTATATAATATAAATTATATAAATTAACTTTATTATAGAATACTGTATATAAACCTCAGAGTTTTATTTGGTGTTTGTAAAATAGGTAATACAAATAACTACAGAGAAGATTATCAAACAAAGCCTGTGAAGAATTAAACATTCCTTTGTTTATTCTTAGTAATAAATAAATTCTGTTTATGCTACAACTTTCTTTACTGATATTTGAAAAAATTTTAATTAAAAAATACATGCATATTAATTGTATAACAGAACAGCACTATACACAAAAAATATAATTACACCTGTATGTACTAAATTCCCTACATATATGAGATATATAAAGGTGAATTTCTGAAGGTTCTTACTTTATTGGATACTTCAGTCAGATCAAAAATGTCATGAAGCTAAGTTTTTATATAAAAAATTCAACCCAAAATTATCAAATATTGGCCAGAATTTTAAAAATTTAACATTACATAATAAATACAAATTTAACTTTATGTTAATATTAGCTTAATAAATTAAAGTCTATTTTACAAAATATTAGATATTTAAACTATAAATTCTATTCACAAGAAAACCAATCTAATTCGAATAAATTAAAACTATTTAATATGGCACTAACCCATCATAATCTTTATGTCCGAACCCATGACCTCCAGCTATTATTTTAGCAAAAAAATCTTTTGTAATTTCTATTGCAACCATTTCAGGCATATAGAAGAGTTCAGATTGATTGTCAAAAGTTCTATGAACAATTGGCTCATAAGGCTCAGTATACAATTATGAATGATTTGACTATCTGATTCTATAAAAAATTAATAAAATCAGTTTGAACTTCTATACATCAATTTGAGAAAATAAAAATTACTTAACAGCAAATTCATAATTACGATAAAGGCCTCAATAATAAATATAAAAAACAGAATAATATTGTTAATACAAAATTTTTTGTGTGTTTTTTCACATCTTGAAAATGTGAATCCAATTTATAATTTTCTTCTTAAAGAATTTTTTCCATATTTATTTTGAGATTTCTAATTTTTAATTCTTAAAATTTTTTAGTTATTATAAACTTTTGTAGTCCAAATAAATCTTAAAAAATTATTTATTGTATATATATTCATTTCACGTAACAGAACAGCATGCTATATAATTTATAAAATATAAATTATTATATAAATTAACTTTATTATAGAATACCATATATAAACTTTGGAGTTTCATTTGATGCTTGTAAAATAGGTAATGTGAAGATTATCTAACAAAGCTTTTTGCAATAACGTAAAGAATTTCCTTTGTTTATTATTAGCAGTAGATTAATTTTTGTTTATGTTACAACCTTTTTTGAAACTTATTGCATAGTATTTATAGTTTTTCACATATTCATATCTGAAAAAAAATATGTGCATATTAATTGCATAATATTAGCACTATACACGAAAATAATTCTTATCTCAGAGTTTATTTTAATGCTTTGCAAAATAGGTAATATGAATAACCACGGCAAAGATAGCATAAATTAAAAAAAATTATTTAATTATTTCCTTATTTAAACAAGTTCATTTACAAAAAAATGTATTAAAAGAATTATGTAAAATCTAGTCTTCAAAATTGACTAAAAATTACAATTACAAAATGTTAAGTAAAAATAATTTAAAGCTCTTAGCATTATTGTTAAGAATTGCCTATACAACAGCTACTACTATTTTTTCTTATTTTATTTTTCTTTTGTTGAAAATTGCTTTTACAATTTTCTTGACTTTAATTTTTTTGACTTCTTTGATTATTTCTACTTTGACTTTCGCATCTTTGATTTTAATAGTGAATAAGATTTATTTCTTGTTGTTCCCTGTTCTCGTTATCTGGTTTTTCTTCTTATTTAAGAGCGCTATCAAATCTAAATCCATTTGCACAGATAGTAAAAAAATCAAAGGTCAGCTATTCATAAATGATGCAAATGAAAAAGATCCTTATCCAGTTTATAATACTACATAAAATAGTCAAATTCTAAGTTCATTAGAATGAACATTATTATTTTACTCTTTTTTCGTTAAGAAGATCTTCAAACTTCATTTATGTCAGATTAGAATATACAGTCAAAATTATTCTAAAGCAATTTTGAAATATATAAGATCAATTAAAACCCTTATCTTAGAAACTTTAGATAAATCTCAAATCACTACTGAATTGTTTTTCAATTTATTTTTCTTTGCCTCTATATTATATGAATGAAGAAGCTATACTATCACTATGAAAATTCAGAATTTTTATTTCAATCCCATTTCTACAAGAATAATAAATGCCAAATTGAACAAAAATTCTTTTTATTTTAAATATAATAAAATAAGAAACAACAAAAACTCTTTGTTATTTTACTGGCAATCAATCAGTGATAATTTATCTCAATCTCTCAATTTGCCATTTCTAAATAAGAATCATATTATAATTTTGTATTACGGTCATTACTCTGCTTTGGAAATGGAGATTTTATTCTATTATTACATGCTCAAGAATTGAAAGAAGCATGACAAAAAATACAAAACCATAAAAGAAATTAAAGAAAACCCAACTACTGATAATAAACTATTTGATTACTATTCACAGAAAGACCTAAATGATAATAAAAAGGATTATGAAAAAACTTTGAATATAGAAATTTTATATTTTGAATTTTAATCCCAACAACAACAATAAATGATCAAGTTGCTTCTGAAATTATAAACAATCTAAAAGCAGAATCAACGCAGTTCATGAACTCAGAAAACATTTCGAAAGATCAAATAAATAAAAAATTATTTAAAATTGAACAAAATATAATTTCAGAGAGAATAAAAATAAAAGATGATCATAATTACAAAAATTAATTAAACCAAACATATGATAAATTTTGCAAAATCTTGGAAGATTTTAGAGTTGATATATGGAAAGAACCCAGAATAATAGAAGTTCGTTATTCTCAACAAAATAAACCAAAATATCCAGGTTGAATTATATAAAATAATTCATTATTTATTATATAATTCATAAAAAAAAAAAATTAACGTGTTCTGCATTTTTTTGATTTATCTTTTAACATTGTATTATCTTTATTTGAAGAAATTATTTGACATAGATAACATTCAACTTTGTTAGCTTGAGAGGCATGCATTTAACTTCTACTACAATATTTTCTATTTCATCAAACATCAGTGATCTGTAGAAAAGTTATTGAACTATCATTTATTTAGATTAGAAGTTTAAAACAATAAGTAAATAAGTCTTTCTTATTTATTAAGAATATTATTACTTTGCTAAAATCATTCATTTTTGCAATAGTGACAAAATATTCTAGATACTAGTATATTATTAATATATTAGGAAAATTTCATAACAAATCATAAATTTAGAAAATTCTTTTTTCTAACACTATTAACAAGGCTTTAATGAGGTTTTTTGACAGAGTATAATAAATCAAACTCCATCAAAAAACCTCATTAAAGCCTCACTAATTGTGCTAGAAAAAAATTTTTCTAAATTTACGATTTGCTATGAAAATTTCTTCTTGTCAGCCTAATATATTAATAATATATACTAGCATTTAGAATATTTTGTCATTATCATAAAATGAATGATTTTAGCAACATAATCTCCAAAATATTTGAATATTTACAGCACAATCTAGTTAGATGACAAGGTTTAATCACTTTTACACTTTATCACATAAATTCTTTCATACAAGTTGATTGGAACTGATAGTATTTGATAAGTTCATGAAAATTTTTTTGTTAATCAGGATTGCTGATGAAATTTTCCATAGCAATTCTCTCTTGAGTTATTCAACATTGAGCACTAGTTTTAAGCTATTATTTAAATAATTTTTATTTATTTATTTATTATTCGAATTAAATTATTCATATTTGATCAATTTTTATTTGAAAGAAATTTTCTTTATTTTTATTGCAACAATTCCATTCTGAAAATTTTTAATTAAATTATGCATATATTTATAATAAAATTAAACAATAAAATTGCAGATTCCATTTTCTAGTTCAATGATGGCAAAATACTGTGACAATCATTTATACTTAACTTTTGTAGAAAATACAGGAATCTGTTTTTTTGAGTTAAAAATTATTATTAGAATACTTGTATCATCATTATTAACTAACAAAGAACATGGCCGAAATAGTCAACAGTTACATGTTTTAATGCTAGAGTATATTCTATTTACTAACTTCTCAGACACATGCTTTCTAATATTTTAATACAGAAAGGTCCTCTCTAATGCAGACAGGGCCAGTATTACAAGAACATCAATAACTGATAGAGGAGAATGTTCAACCAAATGGTTGGCCCAATGCACTTTCAATACTCTATCAGATTTCATTACATTGATGTGACAGTATAACTTTGAATATACTATAACTCAACAAGTAATCAATGCAAAAACTCACCCTATATAGTTTTAATATATATCTTACAGAAAAAAGGTTAATCCAGATCCATTTCAACTGATTTTTGAGAGGTGAAAAGATTATTTGTTTTTTTTTCAATTTAAATAAGGAATATCTTTATCTTGTATCCTTATTTTATTTTGGGATAATACAGAAACAAGATGTACAAACTGAAGAATTGTTGAAGTAATTAAGAAATTTAGATCAATTTTCACATTCTTTTTTTTTTAGCATTTTCTTTAGAAAAGAAGTGCATATGTTAATTAAAAAAAATTCACACAAGGCTAGCAGCCTCTTATGATTTGCTTCAAAGTCATATGGATATACATTTCAAACAGATAATAAAAACACTTAATGATGAAAAATACATTCATGATATGCTAAGTAAGGTTGGGTTGTCACACTTACCTTTAAAATAATTTGCTTGAGTAGTATATTTATTTTGTGTATTCTAAAATCTTCATGATGATTTAAGAATTTTTTTTTTTATTTATTTTATATATATATTTAATTATTAATTATTTATATATTACCAAAAAAATTATTCAAATCTTTGTTATGGTATTATTTGATTACAAAAAATGAATTAACCTCAATTGTTCTTATGTTTCACAATGATTGGTGCTGAATTTATTAATTAAAATATATATATCAATATAATTAATCCAAGTTTAATATTATTTAAATAAATAAATTCAGAATATAATTGCAACATTGTAACACAAAGAGCAAAGCATGTGCTAATATGCAACTTAGACTGAAGAATGCAAAAAATTAGGTTTTGAGAAAATAAAAAAATTTTCTTCTCTAATTACAATTTTTTTATATTATATTAATTTTTATTTACAGGATTAAAAATCTACCTTTTGTTTTAAACAAAGATTATTAATAAAGTTTTTGAGAAATTAGTTTGGGATGAATTTTGGATTTGGGCATAGACAAATTCAAACAATATTAATTTGGATTTTGCCAACATGTATCTTCTTTTTTTTTTTTAAATAAAAAGTTTTTTTTATAATTACATTGCAGGAAATATAGAACAAAACTAATACACATATGATGAAAATAATGATATTAAAAATAGATGATTCTTAATTGTTGAAACTCTTTTTAATAGATAATGTCGAATTTTTAGCATCATGATTAGGAAACAAGTTTTTTTTTCACAAGCCAAAAAAATGGCATAAAAAAATAAAACTAAAAAATATTAATATCAAAAAATTATTTAGAAACTAATAAAATGTAAAAATTTAAAAATTTTAGAAATATGAACTATTTAATATATTAGTTATAAATTCTTGTTGTTGTTTAATACTAAATATGTTTAGAAAAAACACCAGGTTTATCATTTCTTCATATTTTGTAACTTTCTTTCTTTTGTTAGTTGCTAAGGATTTCATTGTTTCTCCACTTCTGTTTTTAGTTGATAAAATCTTGAAAATTTTATTGTATATTACTTGATTAAGTTCAAATGTTGTATATAAATTGTATTTTCTATTGGATTGTTCTAATAAAATTATTGTTCGATCAGCTTCTGTTTGATTTGTTGATTGTTTAAGATTCTTATATAATAAGATCGATGCTTTTATATTTCCAACAATTGATATAGTAAATCCTCTTGAATGTCTAAATGTATAAATGTTATTGATATTATTATTTTTAGGCATTTTTAGTGAAGTCATAAGTTTGGATTTCTTAGAGAGCAAAGATTTTTGAACAAATTACGTGATTTGTTTATTATTTGATATATTGTTTAAAACCTGAATAGGTATATAAAAAGTTAACTTTGCTTAAGAGAGCCCTTTTATAGCAAACTTGACACCTTTTTGTTATTCTATCTATCATATGCAATATATAAAATATATATAACTGATAATTGTTTGTTAATATAAAGTCTTATAGTACAATTTATATTAACTATTAGTTTTTTGGATCAACAATGATGATGTCTATTGTTTCGGTGTCGAATTTATAATGTAAATTGTTTAAATATTTTAAACTTATATAAACTATTTATAATTTATAAATATTATAAATTAATAAATTCAAATATTCTATTTTTACCAATTTATAGCGCTGCATATTTAATATGCTTCAAAAATGTTTATATGAATTGCTAACTTCAAAACACAACTTGAAGAAATTGTTCAAACTGCCTCCTTCTTCTACTCTATAGCTAATATTTAAGTTAACCCTACCAAATCCATTTTTATAACCACACAATCTTCCTCCAATATCTTATTTTTTAACTTCAATTTGCAATCAATCCCTTTCTATCAGCTTTTCAAATTTCTTGGTTACTGGTTTACTCTTAACAACAAGAAATCTGTACAAATTAAACTTATTCAAGAGAAGGCTATTCAACTAGCCAACATTGCAGACACCAAAAACATAACTAACAAACAAATTACTTATATTATCAATACTGTTATTATTCCAACTACTGAATATTAGCTTCACAACATTGTAATCACCCTATTCAAATGTAACAAAATCTTAAGCAAATACCTTACTATAGCCAAACAAAAAGCACACCTTTCTCATTTTACTCCCAATAGTACTCTTCTTAACCATAATCTTTACAATATCTACAATATTTGAAATATACAATTACAACACCATATTATTAACTTTCTTAACTGCATTAATAACAATTCTATATTTGGCACTACAACCTACATTCAACTTTAGCAACTTCAAAACAATCTTTGATTAATTACCAATATTTTACAATACTCTCAGTTCACTATTAATGGTCCAAACAAACACACAACTACCTTCAAAATTATACAACTTCTTAACTATCTACAGACTTCTATTCATGCACACACTGACTTCTCTTGGCCCAAAACAATTTTTAACAGTAATACCTTACTCGAAGATATCCTTTTCAAACATCCAAAATATAGTACCTTTAAACAACAACTTCGTTACAAATACATCCTTTATCTTGAACAACTTTGCTTAGCTAACAATAACACTCTTCTAGATTGGCACTATTTATTTTCACAAATCCTATATATTCCCAAAAGCAGAAAACCTACCTAGTTTATTCATCTCAAAAATACTATTCTTGATAACAATTCATTTTATACTATTTTATCACATTTTCAACCTAAAGGTCTTAATCCTTTTGCATACCAAACCAACCCTATTCCTAAAACCCACAAGCCTTGGATTCTATCCTATCTCAATAACAACATTTTAATAAGCCAAATTCATAAAACATTTCCCAAAAACAATATTATTTCTATAACTCACTGGCAACACAATATTGACACCTTCACTTCTAACTTCTACTTACTATCTCCTATTGCTTACACATCTTGCCTTGGTTGTAATTTCAACTCTAACTGAATTTCGAGCTGTTGTATACTTGAAGCATCTTCTATTCTTTTTACCCAATTCTTGGGAAGAAAGAAAGCTAACAAACAACTTAATTTTAATGCAAACTATATTGATCTTATATAGTCTACTAACATTAAAAAAGCTATGAAAATACCACCCATATCATCAATTAACTTTTTTGACTTACCCATACCTACTATCTTCTATAGCAATAAAGCCTCTTCACAACTTACTCAAATTGCACTAGCCAATCTTCTCTAGCACCAATTCATCTTTTATACAGATAGCTCTGTTAAACAACTTGGTACTAACCAATGCTCTATGGGTATCAGCTAGATTCAAGTCCGAGATGACCAAATTATACAAAGCTTCTCTGCCCAAATCACAAATTGGCCTTCTTTTTATAAAACTGATCTATTAGCAATTCTATCTATTATCTTAACTATCTTATACAACTCCAGACTACAAATCTTTACTAACTCACAATCTGTTATATTCAAATATAACAAACTTTTAACTCTATCTTCCCACTTTACTAAAAACTTTAAATTTAACTTCTGGCCTATCTGGCACACACTTCTTAATATTCTAAAAGCTTTTAATATCCAACTCATCCTTTACAAAGTCCAGACCTACTCTGACAATACCTTTAATAATTTTGCAAACTCACTTGCCAACAACCACTTCAGCTCTCTCTTGTTATCATTCAACTATACTAACTTCTACATTCTCTACTTTATGCTATCATGAAAAAACAATTTTGTCAATAGCTCTACTCGACAATTTATTAAAAATATACATAATGCATATAATATAGCTCTATAGTCTTCTCAACACCATGCCCAAGAATGATCACATTTTTCTTAGCAGATCAACTGGAACACCTCTTGGCTTTACTTTAACAATAACCAAAAAACTTTATATAACTTTACTAATCATAAACTAAACCATCTAAAAGCTTTTAAAATCAAAATACTACTCAATATTCTACCTACACATGTATACTTTCACAATATATATTTCCAATTATGCACATCTCCTAACTGTTTTGCTTGTAACAACCCAGACTTTTCTTTTCACTAGTACATCTGTACTAGCTATACTTTAATTCAAATTATTAATTCTATTATACACAACACTTTATCTAATGCTAATCTTGATCTCTCTTTATCCCAACTAAATAATCTTATATATACAATCTTCTCACATTCTATCTTTCATTCCTAACCTTCTCAACTCTATCTATTCTCTTTTCATTCTATACTCAAAGGCCTTATACCAATTTCTTTAATTAAATCCTTAGACCCATTTGATATTTTATATTTTAATGTTTCTCAACTTATTATTAAACTACTACTTAATATCTTTGACCAACTCTACAACAATATTTGGATTCCATATTGCATAAATTTTTCCCAATAGAAAAAATCTTACCAGATTCCTTTCTATCCTAACTATCAATCACTATCTTGACCCTTCTCAAACTCCTCTAACAAGAGAAATAAAACTAACTACATCTATAACTGCCCCTGTGGTTTTGCTAACCAACTACATTCAGAATCTAATACATGCCTATCTCTAGGACAAGCTACTTTTAA